TCCCTGCTTAGCAGAGAGCCCGACGCGGGACTCAATCCCAGGACCCGGAGATCACGACCTGAGCCTAAGGGACTCGATCCCAGGACCCGGAGATCACGACCTGAGCCTAAGGCAGAGGCCTAATCCACTGAGCCACCCAGGCACCCAGCAGGGTATAGGATTCTAACTTGGAAGTAATTTCACTTCAGAATTTTGAAGGCTTTGCTTCACCATCTTTGTGTCTAGCCTGACTACTGAGAAGTTCTAAGTCATTCTGATCTTGTTGGTTTTATGTGACTTGATGTTTTCTCCCTGGACACTGGCAGAATCATCTCCTTGTCCTGCATATTCTGAATTTCACAATGTACACTGCTGTGAATTTATTTTCACCCACTGTGTATGCAGTGAATCCTTTCAATTTGGAAACTGGGTATCTTTCAGTTTGGAGAATTAAAAATATTATTTCATTGATAATCTCTCCCCCTCCTTTGTTCTCTCTCCTGGAATCCCAATTTTACATGTGTAGTCTACTTAAGCATAGTCTAATTTTTTTTTTTACCTTTGTTCTCTTATATTCCTTTTTGTCTTTCTGCCCTATTTTGTGGGACAGTTCCTCAGCTTTTATTTCTGCTACCAACTTTTCATTCCAAGAACTTTTTGTTTTCCAAATATTCCTCCCCTCTTCTGAAATCTTTTTAATTTTTACTTCTTAGATGCTCTAATTCTCTTATCTGTGAGGAGTGTTGTTTTGCTTTTACATTTTCTTCTCTCTGCAAGTCTGTTTTATCCAAGTTGCTTTTCAAGGGAGTTGCTTCTTTTCTTCTGGATCACCCATGACAGATGTTTCTTCAGAGGTCTTTTCTCTCTTCTTGTCTGACATGGTTCTGAGTTAACTGGAAGCTCTGAGCAAGACAGAGGAGCTTGCCAACTCTGGCCTTCCCGCTATGGTAATGTGGATGGCCTCTTTATTGGAGAAACTCCCGTATCACATGTATCGATTTTTCTTTCTCCTAGGATGTTCAGATTGCCCAGAAAGGAGTCCTTCAGGCTCTGGCAGGCGAGGAAATGTTCCGAGGCCAGCACTACAAAAGGTCAGTTCAGAAGATGACTGGGAGTAGGAGCACTGAGAATTTGGAATTCTAAGAGTCACTCAATTTTCTTTTTTGTATACTCTCAAGTGGGTCTTGAGGCATCCCCTCTCTCCCCAGAGATCAAACCAAAGTTTCTTAGTCTGTGGGACCCTAAGCATCTCAGTAATAGTTTGTGATGCTCCTCAGCCAAAGGATAGACCCAAGAGCTTCATGTATTTAGTTATTTTGAAAGAACATGTAAGTTTTTAGATCTTAACAAGTTAGTTACTATTTGCAAAAAATATATATAAATTAAAGTTATTATTTTATTCTTAAATTAAATAATAATAAAAATATATATATTATATATAAATATAAATAATAAAATAAATTAAATAACCACAATTACTAACTAATGAACACACACATCTGTGCTTACTGCAGAACTCGAGATCAGATGGGGCCCAGCTAGCGTCATGTCACGTTCCACATTGATTTTCACATGGCACTTGATTTTTATCAATACATACACACCAAAAAATCAATTTCAAAATGATAAGATGTCATAGAGAAGAATGTAGAGTGCTCTGAAGTTGAAACTCTGAACTGTTCCAAGTTAGTAGTTGTATCTATCAGATGTTGAGTATCACTGTGTTTACATCAAAAACATCAAACACGACAGCACGTCTGTCGATTTGGTGTGGTGCCCCAGGTTTGAGAACCACAGGCTTCACACAACCCACTTTTGTTTAGCCTACCTTCTGAACCTGGACTTGCATTAAGCTTTGAGCTACGGACAGTCTATTGGGATCTCAAGCATCCTTACCATCGCTCTCCTACAACTCGGCACCTTACTGCATTTAACAAGTATAATTAACTTCACGTTCTGAATCAAAGAATCAGAACATTGACTCGGGGATCTAAGAAGCTGGCCACACTGAACTAAAAAACAAAGTGTGGGGACCTACTCCACCAGCTATTCCTGCTGCCTGTGCAGTTCCTGCCCACACTTGGCCCAGCCAGACCTCCCCACCAAGGTGAGCCCTAGGCTTCCCAGGACTGAAAGTACAAGGCACTGTATTTTTATATGTATAATTTTCCGGTCAGCAAGACACAGTATTTTTAATTTTGTATGCCATTAGATAATGCTATAGAAGTAACTCAATACAGTTTGTGGCTGCTTCCAGACAGCTGAGTAAGGGCCTGAGTATTAACAGCTGTCAAATGAGTGTTCTGTGCCTCCGCACCACCCCCGCCCCAGACTAGTCTTTGAAGGATTCAATCAGTATAAAGTCAGAACGTCAAAGAAAGAGGCCAGAGCAGGTAATATGACAAATGGATGTTGGTCTTAAGTAAGCTGACTAGCTATTAATTCACAAAACAGTCTGAAAAGATTTGTGATGCAAGCTGACTTCTGTCTAGACAGAGAAGGGAGTGTAAAACACATTAGACAGATACAACACAGTAGTGACAAGAAAAACCTGTTTCAGTTTCTCAAATGCATTAGGAGAGAATCTGCTAGGTCCTTCTTTATCTTAATATCTAATCCCTAATGGGGCTACAGCTAGGTACTAGTGAATTTCAACTTTATTTCTAGAGCTTCAACACATCTTACATGTTTTTTAAAAAGGAAGAAGAGTAAAGAGATAAAAAGAAGGAAGGAGGGAAAAGAAGAGATGAAAAGAGAGATTAAGAGAGAGAGGAGGTGGGGAGGGATAGAGCGACCAAGTGAGCACTAGGCAGTGAGGAGAGAACAAGAGTGAAAGTGTCAGAGGACTAGAAGAGAGTAGGAAGAGAGAGTAATGAAATCCGAATGCTTAAATATGTTCTTGAATTTCAAAAGCTATTTATGTTTTAGCATTTGGAAAACATCACTTGGCCTAGTCCTATAAAATTTATCTCTTTCCTCCGATGTATTATAGTCATGTCTGTTTTTGTCCTTTCCACTTAACAGTGGCTAAAAAACTATCAGGGAAGCTATCAGGGAAGCCAGATCCGTTTTACATGGCTGAATAAGTTCAGTGGCCTAATGGATAAAATAGCCAATCAGGTCACTTAAGGAAAGTACACAGTTCAATATATATCTTGTTTTTTCCCCCAACCATGTCAACAGTCAACTTCAAGGTCAATGTAAGGAAAACATTTGGCTACTAATAAAAGAAATCATAATATTATCTAGTATAATAATAATCAGGCATGCCAAGACATTGTTTTAATACAAATATGTTTCAACATTGGCTTGTTCTGAAATTCTCACTCATAACAGTTCACATAAGCAGTCACTGAAATAGTCATTCATGTGTTTAAACTTTTGTTTAAGAAATATGATCTAGAACTTTAACACTACATGCCAATTGTAGATTTCCTGAAAGAGAGAATTTTGATGCTCCATTATTAAAGACAAAGGATCAATTCTAGTATTATGGTAAATATAATTATAGAGTAATTATCAAAGATCAGAGAAAACTAGCTGTGTTTTGTTTGTAATAGCTCCTGCCCATATACAAATTTCCCTGCCCCTGCCCCATATTGACATATTGACATTTGGCTGACATAGTTCTGTACCAAGAAATATTTGTTTTCAGCATATTTTACTATTATAGTTGGAAAGGAAGAGTCTGTTTTCTTAAATGCTTTCAGATCGAACTGAAAGGAAAAAAATAAGAAAATTCAGCAAACACTGGGAGGAGAAACTTTCATATTGCTAGGATATGCAGGTGCTTTTATATTGCTACCCTCCTATGGGCTCATGCAGTAGACTGAAATTTCTGAAGTTCCATGTTATCAGGGAACCAGGATTATGTAATTTTATGTGAAGACCGATCACAGACAAAATATGAAATTGTATATTTCCATATTTTGGAAAGTGACTACAGTATTCAATGTGGTGACTAACACATTAGATGGGACAACATGTTCTAGTTTTAATCATGACAAGAAGGCAGTAGATCAAACCCCATTGTTCTTTGAGGATGCTACTCAGCATCTTTTAAACTTGGGATCCTAAAAGGATCACACCCTACTTTTAATGGCCCAATGCTCAGCTATGAAAGTTCAGGACGAACTATGGTCATCAAACCTGCAGTAGCTCACAGAGAACCTTTAAGTTCCCCAAGAAGGGACAGAGCAGAACCTTGGCTCCTAAGGGACGTAATGGCAGAGCCTGCTCAACCCCGAGGCAGAGGCACAGATCAGTTTTTCTATCTTTTGCTAAGGAGTCTGTGAAACTGGTCATTTTCCTGATGGGAGAAACGCAAAGGAAGTGAGTCTCGAGGAGGAAATCCTATGAAATGCACAGACAAAAATTTTTGTTTCTTTTGCAAACACTGTTGTAGTTCATGGGGAGTCACAAGTATACAAGAAGTCTGGAGCAGGGGACCAGTCAGACCTGGGGCTCCTAGATAACATAGCTCTCTGATGACGTCATTAAGAGAGCTCCTAGGGCAAGACAACTTTCTTCATGCTTGTAGAATAGTCCAAGGTTGCAGCTCAGGGGACATAAATGAGAAACGCCAGTGGTCAGCCTTGCTTACATCTTTGGGCCGCTCATGTAAGACACATTTCTAAACTGGAGGGTCGAGACATTAGTAGGTTTTGGTCAGCAGAAGTATGTGGCAGATGGTTCTTTTCTACTGGAATTTTAGGAGCATGTTTTTTCATCATGAGCTTGGTTTGCTTTCTGAACAGAAAAGACTACATTTTAAAAAAGCCTTAAGTCACTGAGGTTGACCTTCTTGTCTGAATGAAACTTAATGTTTTACTAATAAAGAAGCTGGTATAAAATGGAGTGTACAGACCCCATGATAAAGAAGATACTGTCTTTAAGGGGGTTTTGTATTTCCAGGGAACTGCAAAAACATTGTTCTGCTTATGGCTTTAAAACTGAAACAAAGAACTATTGAAACCCAAAAGATACACTACCAAAGGGGGAAAAAAAAAAGAGTGTCTTACCAGGTTCAGCTGTAGATCTAGGTTCTTTTTGCCACATGAGAAAAAAAAAATAAATCAAAACGGAGTATTAGAATGGGGTTCCATTAATAAGAAACCTACCTATCTTTCTCTCTTACTTTGTCCAGGACATGTCTTCAGGATATAGGGAACTCCGTAATACAAAAGATAGAGTGATAATAGATCTATTTATATTTCTATAAATACAGAAACCCAAATTCCAGTTACAGCTTACACTAGAAAGTGTTTTAAACCATGATTCATAGAAGGGCTTATAGGAGGCTTGTAAACCTCCTAAGATTATTTGGCCAACTTTGAGTTCAAATGTATGTAACATTTCTTCCTGAAGAAGGAACATACAGCTCTTATCAAACTTCCAAAGGAGTTCACAAGTGACCACCATGGCTTTAATTTACCGGACCCCACTTATCTGCCTATTACCCAGTCTCACCTCTCTTCGAAAATAAAAATCATTTCTGCTAAGGACCCCTGGGTGACTCAGTCGTTAAGCATCTAGCTTTGGGGCAGGTTATGATCCCAAGGTCCTGGGATCGAGCCCCATGTCAGGCTCCCTGCTCAGTGGGAAGCCTGCTTCTCCCTCTCTCACTCCCTTTGCTTGTGTTCCCTCTCTCACTCTCTGGCAAATAAATAAAAATCTTTTTTTTTAAAAATCAATTCATCTTGAAAGACTAAGTCCTTCTTGGTTTTCCTGAAGCTTGAGAGAAGAAAATGGATGGATGTGGGACAATGGGCACCTCTCCTTACTTTTCTGTAGAATTCTGAAATCTGGAGAGTCTTGAATTTCACTCCCTTGTCGGAACCACTTGACCTGCAAAGGGGGTGCTCCTCGGACCCGGCACTCCAGGACCACCACCTGACCCTCAGATGCTGTTATGTTTTGCAGTTCCTAAAAATTCAAGGAAGACAATCCTCATTACACTTTGGTTCACTCTTACACAATTTCACAACAGAAAGTAAAGCTTGCAAATCTTAGAGGGAAAAAAAAAAAAAAAAAAAAAGCAAAACTTGCATCATAAAATAATTACCACTAACTCAAGTAAAAATAGACACCTTGAAATCCATCAATCGTTAGCTTTCCATAATCTCCCTGTAATGAGATCAGTAAGGGCTACCACTGGGCCTCTGGACATTTTGGGTCTGTCTGCAAATTTACTGACACTTTCATATTTATGGAATTTTATGGCAATGCCTGTTACCTTTCTCTATCTACACTGAAGAGTTAGCTGGTGGAATGCAGACTTCCTAAAACAATTATATTCCATATGAATGTAGATTCCTGGGAAAACCAGATAGGAAGAGGAAAAAAGGCATAATTTGTTTTTACATGCCCCAACATTTTCATGTACTCCCTCACCCCCACTTCTGCCAATGAGCTTCCTATGTCAGGTTTATTAAGATAAGAAGCTTGGGGACTTTCTCATTTTGAAGTTCTGAGTAAAATAATAAAACTCACAGTACTTCTCCCTTCGTGACCTTCATTTCCTCTTCCCTTGCAATTACCCTTGTTGCCCCTGACCCTATTCCAAGTCCAGACCAGTAAATTTTTACAGGGCAACAGATTAGAAATTAATTTGTCTGCATAGATGCAAAGAGGTAAAGCTTTAATACTTGTTATTAAATATCAAAAGATTAATAGTCCCCTCACAGTTATCCTCCCCCTACCTTCCTCCTCCGATATTACTTAGCTGGGGCTGACTTCAACTTTTTGACTTTTTCAACTTCTGACTCGAGAGTATGAGATCTTACCTAGGTGGATGGAGAACTCTTAAAGTAATTCGGATATGACAGAGTCATTCACCTACATGTCAACCAAAAGCAAACAAATCCACATTAAGAAGTGTGTGGTCTTTACTGGTTTTGTTCAGTTATTTAAGATTATCTTAAGGGACAACAAATGTGTGCTGGGAAAAAACAAATGTCAGAGCAAATGGGCTGCAGTAAGTGTGGCAGAGCACTAAGGAAATTCTCAGTCAGTGCTGTTGGCGGAAGAACTATGAAAGGCTAATGTTAAGTCTGAGAAGGCATTTGATAATAAGCTGGGTAGTTAACAAAATGCCTTTTTTTTTTAAGTGAAAAGGTTAAGATTTATTAACTACTTCTGATTACATTGTCTCCTTATTTTATTTTTTTTTAAAGATTTTATTTATTTATTTGACAGATGGAGATCACAGGTAGGCAGAGAGGCAGGCAGAGAGAGAGAGAGGAGGAAGCAGGCTCCCTGCTGAGCAGAGAGCCCCATGCGGGGCTCGATCCCAGAACCCTGGGACCACGACCTGAGCCAAAGGCAGAGGCTTTAACCCACTGAGCCACCCAGGCGCCCCAGTCTCCTTATTTTTAAATGTAGAAAATCTCTGGTTGTAAATTGACTTTTTTACTTTGTGACTGGGTCCAGAGAAGAGCCAATTTAGTGGATCAGAGCAGGAAAAGTGTCACTCACAGGGCCCAGGTTGTGTAGATTAATTATTAAACACTTCCTGGACAAGCCAGGAAGTTTGATTTATTCTTAGGATTGTGTGTTTTGTTCAAAGGCTGGAAAGTCAGAGAGGAAATGGGTAGATACCAAGGATCTGAAGCAAAACTCCACAGGATTATAATAGGACTCCACCCAAAGCAAACTTTTTCATCTTGAGAGAAGCCACAGCTAAGTGGAATGAGCCATTAGGAGAATCTTCAGGGACACAAGGCAGAACCCTGAAGGAGACTAAGAGCCAACCTACAGAAGTTGCACTTAGCAATCTACATCATCCACTCAGGGCAGAACTGGGGGACCCTGAGGGTTTTAGGATCCATATATCAAGCCCACCTGATATTGTGATTCCTTTAAGGGGCTGAACTACTTAGAAAGAAAGGCCATAAAAGACTAGTTGCTCTCTCTTCTCCCATGTGTCCCTACTGCCCCTAGTCCCATAGTCCCATACCAGCTCTGCTGCTCCAGCTAAGCCCAGTGGCCCACAGACAGAGGTGCGGGCTCTGCCTCTGACCAGCTGTGAAACCGGGAAGTCTTTACAGAGTAGTATGAGGAAACAGGTGAGGGTGCCTATTAGACCAGCAATGCCCACCTGACTGACATTCACTGTCACCATCGTGCCCGAGAGAAAGACCAAATAAAAGATGCTAAGGGTGACAAAGTGAAGGCTACTTTGAGTTACAAAGGAGAGGAGCAGATTTATCTTCTAAACCTGCCCCTCCAAAACCAAAGTCCAGGCCCAAAAGGACTCAGCAAAGCAGGGAGGGAAGATGCCCACAAGGACAAAGGGGAAAGCCAAGGCCAGGAAGGAAGGAAGCAATTCTGCTGAGATCAGAGATGATCTACGGTCTAGACACAGAAGGTAGAAGGCACTGGAAATACCCAGTGAGGTATGCTCTGTGCTGCCCGTCACTCTACAGTTTGTGATTTTTTTTTAAAAAATCAACCTTTATAAAAATACAGAATTATGTTTCACTTTTCTTTTTACTAAGCTGTGCAGTTAGCACACACTATGTTTCACGGTTTTCTTCTGGGGGAAGGGATATACCGCTAATTGAAAATCAATGCCCCAGGAGCTGGGATGCAATGGAGGAACGAGGTTTTATGTCTAGTTTTGAGGCTTTCTCTTAGTGCCCAGGAGGAGTTCCATAATATCACCATCTGCCAGGCCACTGTGGGGAAGCCCTGAGGGGAGAGAAAGCAAAATCTCATGACCTCTCGATTTGCTTAAATCAAGAGGTGGGTACCCCCCAAATCACCTGCACGTAGCACAGACTTCCTGGTGATGATCTGGTGAAGCAGTCTTTGAGAAGCTCTAAAACCACACAACAGCTGAATCACCCACACTGTGGGGACATCTGTTCTCAGTAGATTAGAGGACAACTTCATGGACAACTACAGTGGCATCACATTCTGTCAGGTTTTATTGTTTTTTTGGGTTTTTTTGTGGGTTTTTTTGGTGCTTGAAAGTTGTTGTCAAATGTTATCATTTGTTGCCAGTGTCTTACACTAAATACCCTGCTTACAAAATGATCTTTAATAAAGCGGAATCCAGTCTGGCTTGGAAGGAAAAAAATCATCCCCTACAAGAAGAAAAACAAGATGCTCTTCCCTACTGCCTTGCAAAATTTTATGGATTTGCTTTTTCACATTTGTCTTTCATTTACTTTGCCTAGATTTTTGTAAAAAGTGTGAAGTAGGAGTCCAATTTAATTTTTTTTTTTTAAACCTCTACTGAAGAACTCATTCTTTACCCTGCAATCTGCAGGTTTCTGGAGATACTGGAGTGTCTGTGGGCTCTATTCTGATCACCTGCCCATTTGTTTGGTCTTGTTCAGCATGATACTATCCTAACTACAAAGTCTTAACATCTCTGATGACAAATCCCTTGCCTTCCTTACCAGCATTTAATTTTCCTCTTCAGGATTACCTTGGCTATTTTTAGACCTTTTTTTTCTTAGAATCAAATTTGCTAAGTTCTACGTTAAACAAAACAAGGAACCAACTGGAATTTCAGCTGGATCTCCATTAAATTTAGAGATTAATTTGGGGCTCATGACTTCACGATTTTCCAGTCCACACACATGGAATCTCTCTTTACTTATTTGGGCCTTTTTAGATGTATTTCAATCAAGGTTTGTAATTTTCTCAAAAAAAAAAAAAAAAAAAAAGATACACCACATGGAGCCATGTCTGAGTTGAGCAGTTGACTATTGAAATGGATGTCATTTACTTTGGCAAGGCAAAACACAAACTTGAGGAAGAAATTGAATATTGTCTTTTTTTTTTTTCCTCTCTAAAACGTGCTGGTTCTCCCAAGCAATTTCCTACACAGCTCTTTGTCTCATTTTTTCTACCTGTCTTGGCTTTCCCATTCTATAGTAAGCTCTACCAGATCACTGACCACGCCCACACCATTCAGACCCTTGACCAGATGATACTCACAAAACAGTTGTTGCATAAATACCTATTTAGCCCCAAAGGTAACCATAAGAGTCTGTGGATCTGTTCATTTTAATTTTTAAAGACCGCTGCAAGAAGGCCCATGTGAAGGGACCTTAAGGACCAAAGCAAACAGAGAGAGACGTGAGATGTCAGACCTTGGTAAAAATAGGAGGAAAGTAGGCAGGAGCAGCTCCATCTGGTCGGCAGAGATATGAGGTTGGACTGTGGACCTGAAAATGCAAAGACATAGGGATCAAATTCCGAATATATAAATTGTTGAAAAGATGGACTAAAGAAATCTTTCATTATTGGGATCGCTCCACTTGAATGCAACGAGGAAACGCAAATAGTGCCATCTGTCATTTTGCTGGTCTACGCTCACGTACAGTACAGACATTGTTCCCCATCCTCCTTTCACAGCTGTTCCTCTTCTCTATTCAAAAGGATATTCAAGGTAAAAGTTCCTCAGTTCCTTGGGGATCCATGAGCTTGTAAATGCTCTTACCAAATGGATTTCTGTGTGTGGTACTTCCACAGGGATCTTTTCAAAAGTTCTCACAGACATTATATTTTATTTTTAAATACAGTCTGGATTCATGGAATTAAAAGCACAAGTTACTGGCAGTGCAGGGTAAATTATCAACCATCTACTTTATGTTCAACCTGCATTCTTTCTTGATATAAGGGATTACAGGAAACAAGTTAAAAAGGAATATATTGTTCTTTCTTGATGTGCAAAAAACAAAGATGCTAAAATACTTACTGTATGGCACTCTTCTCCGGGGAAATATAAAGATTCCAGAGTAGTGAATGGAAAATACATCTCTTTCTCCAATCATTTATTTTCTAACACTTTGGATTTATGCCCTTCTATGTAAGCAATTGTTAGCTTCTTAACCCCAGATGATGGTGATCTGATGATATCATGGGTCTAAATATGTCACAAGTTATCATCGAGAATGTTGGCAGAGTTGCAGAGATGTTAGGATAGTAAAGGGCGTTATTCATTATCCTTGTAAGACTTCTCACTGGTTTGTGATTCAAGACTGGGTTTCACTTTTTGTTGTCTTTATATGTCCAAGGACATTGGAACACTTATGTAGTGTTTAGTCTGTGCCAGACACGGTTCTAAGTGTTATATGGAGATTCACTCACACACTGAATCCTCAGGATAGTCCGGGGAGATGCATGGTATTAACTTCATTTTACAGATGAAGAAATGTGGCATAGAGAGGTTACATCAAGTGGCAGAGCTGGGATTTGCACCCAGGCAATCTGGCTCCTGGGTGTTCAACTTCACATGACGTTGCTTACAGTAATAAAGCAACAGAGTTTCTCTAAGCCCCTCATCCTACCTGTACAACTGGAATGTGTGTCCTTCCATTTAGTGTCCCTGGAGAATTTAAACCAATTAAATGTACCGTTTACATTATTATGGTGCTTCCATATTTAAATATTTCTTGCTCTTAGGCTTTTGTGTTACACTTTAACATATTCTGCCACATTCACGACATGTTTCACGTTTCCCATGCATAGTTCTATAAAGTGTTACGTTCATGACATGTTTCATGTTTCCCATGCATAGTTCCATAAAGTGTTTGGGAATGAAGCTGGTGATATATTTTTTTTTTCCCCAATGAAATGTCTAACATGGTGCTAATAAACACTCACCACTCATCAATACTTAAATATTAAACAAAAAAGATCCACTGATTTAATCAGAAGTATTTTTATAAGTACCACTCTGGTTTAGGGATTTAAAGGAAACATCTACGCCATCTTTGAATGAATTATACTGGTTGGTTCAAGTTTACAAACTCAAATATCTTTACTGTTTCCCTATTCCACATATCCAAGAGTATATGTCACATACTACAAATACTAAAACACCTGGGTGCTCAGTAGATGGAGGGCTGGTGATGGTCACACAACAGATTTACCAGTTAGGAATTCGTTTACATTTCAAGGGCAGGGGTGGGGAAGCCTTTTGTGAGTGTACTAGTTAAATATATGCATCACAGCACAAAGGCAAAGTAACATACATCTGATTATAACATTTCCATTCTAATTTTTTTTTTTTACTGTTTTTAAAAACATTTCTTGTAGTATTTGCAAAGTAAACTATTACCTTCCAGTAGTTTGTATTGCTGTTCTTTCTTGGATATGGTAGTCTCATAATGGAAAAAAAAGCAGGATAAAAATGCTTGGTTAAGTCAAGGAATTTGTATTTTTTTAATTGTTTATCTCTTGGAAAAACTTTTGTTGGTATGTGGGCTTTTCTTGCTTCTAATTTGTTTTAAATAAGCTAATAAATGTGGTGAAACAGAAGAGGATTTATGGGTGGAAGAAAAATCAAATAGTAATAGCTAAAAGAGATACCATTTTCTCAGGTTATGAGCTGTTAGGGACATTCCTAATGGAAACGCAAGCACTTACTAATCGGTGATATGTTTTTGATTAAAGACGTTTTTAGTGGCTCGAAAGGGACAGTTTTACCTACCATTTTCTTTCCTCTCAGTTGTGCTTCCACTTAAAAAATACTGCAGGGAGTATACCAAGTTGGAATCAAAGCCGTAATCTTTAAACCAAGAAGTTTGCCAATGAGTTTGACTCACTGTGGTCTCTGGTCCAAGGCGCACTTACCTGTTGAACAGGGACTGACAATGGTTGAATCACAGCTGTGGTCACTCCTGTCTTTGGAGAGGATGATCCTATTGTCAAGGAGACAGAAGTTGTTTTCTTTTGAGCTCTAGAAAATAAGGAGACAAGTGTGTTCCACCAATTTTTTTTTAAAGCAGGAATTACTCTTTGAAAGATTTCCCCACAAGAGCTCAGTTTCTTTTCGTGCATTCAATCCACTTCTGTTGTAAGTGCTTCAGAAATGGGAAGCCATAACCTACAGTTAGAATAGCTGTGGTCAACATATGCATAGACTAGACCTTATAGATAACAAAATAAACACACAGGGAAAAGAAAAATAACTATATATAGCTCAGCTAGTATCAGAGAACCTGAAGTACTGAACTTAAAAATCAAGTCTGGAGAAGGTCCAATCTTTAGCAATAAACAGACACTTGAAATCTTTAGGGTTAGGGTTCCGTATTTAATTCAAAGTTTTAATGGTCTCTTTTAAGTCTAGCAGGTGTTCTTTGTTCTGGTTTCCAATTTTGTTGAGAATGTCTTGGCCTTTTAGTCTTTTCTTACTGCATAAAAGTTAGTGAGGTGTAGAGAAAGGTTAAGAAGAGTTGGTTTCTAGGCCCAATTTTGCTAAGAGGCTGGCTGTGCAATCTCAAGCAAGACGAGTAGCTTCTCGAAACTTGAGATCCTTATCTGAAATCAGGAGTGCCAGAGCATATCATCTCATAAGGTTCCTTTAGCATTAATACTCAGGGATTATTTGATGCTGAGTAGATAAAATTGTTACATATCTGCTAACAGATCAAAGGAATTTATTAGCACAGTCTCAATACTCATGGAGTTTTTTACAAAAATCCCCGTAGGTTTGATTTTATTTTTGCAAACAATTAATTATTACCATCAATTTACATAATAATTATTTTGGAAAATAATCCATTTGTCTTTGTAAGAAGAACTAAATTTTACAATTTTCCTGGTAAGATCTAACTAGCAATAGTCTTTATCCAAGTATTTCTGGGCCAATTACACACTTTGCAGTTGGTATAATTAGACTGGTCCTCATTCACATTTTAGTTATGATTTAACTAGCTTCCTCTTGATGCTGATGTTGTTCTCATATATTTATAACCAGTTAGTTGTCCTTGAAACTTAAGATTGTCTATGGTTTGACTTTGGAATCTCGATGATGAAATGCAGACTTCAAAATCTAAATTCCTAAGTTAAAAATTGTGTTCCACATTCAAATGTTTGATCTTTGGCTGACATCAGCTGACCTCTTCCTTCACAGCACAAGGTACTCTGCTTCTCCCCCCAATGATTCTGTCCACATTCTTTGTTGTGCAGAGAATTGATGGGATTGTAGGCACTTACTGCGGCATGGCTCCAGGGTTTGATTTGAAAGCTAAATTTTCACTCTCAGAATCTGTTGAACTGGCACCTGAGACAATGAGAAATAATGATAAATTTAAGATTTGAGTAAGCACCTATAACTGCTTCAAAAAGTAAAACTGTTCATTTTTAAATAATAACATACAAAGTCTTATGTTCAAATAGGGAATGGTTTAGACCGTTTTTCCTTGAACTGTTTTTCTGGAAAACCACTTAGAGCAAAGATCTACTGTAAAAAGCTTTTTTGAAAGCCATATGCTTTTAATGCCAGATTTCCTGTTAGTTTAATTTTTATCACTTTGGTCCTCACAACCATATTTTAAAATGGCTTATAAACTATGAAATAAATGTGTGCGTGTGTCTCTGTGTGTGTGTGTGTGTGTGTGTATGGGCAAAGCATTCATGATTTTAAACTTTAACCCTTTCCCGGGAGATTACAATCTGTGGATTATTAATGTCTTCATTACTCATTAATTAGGAGATGCTTTCTGACTCTGTGATAAATTACAACAAAATAGTGGCTTCACTCATGAGTTAGAAGGTCTCCGATTTTGGATTATGCTTTCCCAAATTCATTCGCTTCATTACTGTTTTTGAATTAAGGGTGACCTTATCAGGTTTTTAGTCAAAATGCAAACTGTACTTAGCTTTAATGCTCATGTGTTTTGTCACAGATTTAAGTGACAGATTTAAAATAATTGTAATGATTAGAAGTATACTCTTGACATTTCTTTTATGAGATATATTTAAAGTGAGTTATATTATTTTAAGACACTTTAATATAAAATAATAGTGCTTATAGAAAAGCAACCAAACAGCACAGAATTGTGTGACATAATACTACAGACCAGTGGGTACCTTCCTTAATGCCATTCTGCACATGTTAATAGTCTGATGTCTATTTGTCAGATAAATTTAATGTATTAACATATACTTATGTACATAGCTCTACAAACGGAATCACACTATATGGACTCTTTGCAATTAGTTATTTTTGCTTATAAATACATTCAGAATATGCACATTTCCTCAATTTCTTGGATAGCTGCCTAGTGTTCCTTTCCATGACTCCATTTCTCCCATCCTTTATTAATGTTTTAACATTCAGGTTTAGGTAACTCTGCTGGAATGTCTGCTGTCCCTTCCTATTTACTTCTCTAAGTACCGCTTAGTATAGGCTTTCTTCAGTTAGTTCCTAGACTCCACAATAGATTCTTGTCTTCCTCTCTCTGTCAATCTTCAACCTATGTCATTTTTTACTATAGCACACCTTTCCCATTTAAAAAAAAAACAAAAACAAAAACGGAAAACAAAAACTAAGATAAGGAGTTTCAACTCAATAAACTTAAAAACCTAAAACCTGCTATTTAGTGACTTTCGTGATTTCCAGCCAGATTTTGTAGCTCTATCAGCCAGAACTACCATGTCCTATAACCCCGAGCCAGAGAGTTGAACATACTCACTGGTGTCCATTCACTAGGTAAGGGGAATGCAGCAGTGAAGAACTATACACATACAGCCCCCACACACCTGCCCTCGTGGAGTTTACATTCTTCTGAAGACACAGACCACAGACTAAATAAATAGAAGACATGGATGGCAGTGGGTGAAATAAGAAAGCACATCAGAGCAGGGATCTAGGGAAGGGGGGGACTGGCCTGGGATGCAGTGTTATGTGGGGTGGCAAGGAAGGCTCTATCAAGTTGGGGACTTTGAGTAAAGACCCAAAGGAGGTGGGGGCTTTCCTTTCTTGGTCTTTTCCCATGTTTGTACATTTACTTATATTATTCACTCTCGCAGGAAAGTCTTAGCTAGTCTTCTCTCGATATTCTTTTAAAATAAGCCAAACAGGGGCGCCTGAGCAGTGGTTAAGTGTCTGCCTTTGGCTCAGGTCATGATTCCAGGGTCCTGGGATCAAACCCTACATCAGGCTCTGTGTTTGGTGGGAAGCCTGCTTCTCCCTCTCCCACTCCCCCTGCTTGTATTCTCTTGCCATGTCTCTATCAAATAAATGATTTAAAAAAAAAAAAAAAAGATAAGCCCAATAGTGTTTTCTGTGCTCTGTTTTCTCTGAACTCCCTGTGTTTTTGCTTATACTACTCAGGTCACTTATAACACCATATCTGCTTGAAAATTTTAAGTTCTTTGGAAAATTGAGGAAGGGTTAGGAAGGGAACTACCAATTTTTGAGTACTTACTATTTTGCCTGGTAATCTGCTAGGTACTGTACAACATTTAATTATTGTAATAACTCACCTCACTAAAAGGTGAAATGTCCAATTACACATTAGAAAATTGAGGAACCAAGAGATTAAGTAATTTGCATAAGGTCACCTAACTAGAAGGCAGCAGTGAGAGGAGTTTTGAGCTTGCGGTCTGTGACGTCCCCCCATGCGGTATGACCTTCACGTGCTGTGGATGTCTAGTCCTCCCAGGCCTCAGCTTCATGCTTCGCTAATGGCAGGCCTTCAACTGCTGGCAGGATCAATGAATGGAACCTTGGGGACTGCAAATGCTTGTTTGCGGAAAGTGAACTGAGCAACCACAGAAGAGCAGCATGCTCCAGAGGGGGCAGCAGTGGGAGGCAAGTCAAGAAAGGTGTGGGATGAAGAATAAGAGGGCCAAAGTGTTTGGACTTTATGCCCAGGCATTGAGAGTTGTAATTGGGAAAATGAACCATGCAGGATGAACTGGGGGAGTAGCAAACTAAAAGAGCAGCAGAACCAGCAAACCATCAAAAATAGGTGATAGAGAAAATTTTAACCATGAGAGGAGGTATGGGACGTGAGCAGAGGAAACAGGAGTAAAAATCAGTAGCCTCGGTTACCAGAAAATCATGGGTAACCTGAGACAGCTCAGTTTTACTGGAATCACAGGAGCATTAAAGAGAAAGGGCGGGGGAACAAAAACCCCACAGAAGTTATCACAGATGCTAAGTGGCCAGAAACTGGGGAGACAAATAACTGTTTTTCATGTGATTCCAAACATATTACATCTTAAAAATAAAATCCCCTCTGATTACCGAGTTAGAAAACCTTTCCTTTTTTCAAAAAAAATAAATTTTTTTCCCAATTTTTAAAATATTCTTTAAAAAAAATTTTTTTTTCAGCGTTCCAAGATTCATTGTTTATTCGCACACCCAGTGCTCCATGCAATACGTGCCCTCCTTAATACACACCACCAGGCTCACCCAGCCCCCCACACCCCTCCCCTCCAAAACCCTCAGTTTGTTTCTCAGAGTCCACAGTCTCTCCTGGTTCGTCTTCCCCTCCAATTTCCTCCAATTTTTTTTCCAGCTGATTTTCAGAAAAAGGTAAAGGGCCAAAAAGGTGGGTAACCCCTGGATAAGAACACGTTTGCTAGTTTTTGCACACCTGTTCAACCCTTGTGAAATCTCAATGTCACCTTCTGTCTCAGGTGTCAGAGCAGCTCTTGCAGACGAGGGAGCAGATCAAATCTCCTTATCTGTGCCAGCAAGTTCCCTCCCGCCTCAAGATGACTCTCCCCTCCCTCTCTCCTTCTGTCTCCTCCCTTTGGTCATCTGCCCGGCACCTCCTGGTCAGGAAAGGACATTCCTGTCTCTGGTTAACATTTTTGTATTTATCAAAACATCACAAACCATTAGAGACTCTAATCTCAGCAAACAAACTGAGGGTTGCCGGAGGGGAGGGGGTGAGAGAGATGGGGTGGCTGGGGGATGGACACTGTGTTATGGTGAGTGCTGTGAATTGTGTAAGACTGATGAATCACAGACCTGTACCCTGAAACAAATAATATGTTAATAAAAAAATAAAAATTAAAAAGTTAAAAAAAACAAAACAGCCCATTACTTTTCAGGTTTTGATGGAGGCTCCAGTCTTGCAATTACTATCCATCTACTGTTTATCCAATGTTCACCTGCCTAAATGCTATTTCTATATTGTTCCTCACACACAGTGAAGGAATGAAATGCCATGAACTCTGCTCTATTCTGGAAATGCAGTACCAGTGGAAATGTCACAAAAATGCACCTGCTGTCTTGCCTTTAAAAGGTGTTCCCTTTTCATTTAAAATACATACCCCATTTAATACTGCCTTGTAGGAAAAGACCCAGAAAATGTTACAATAGTAAAAAACTTTTTAAAAAAATCATTGGGGATACCACAACTCTGATAACTTCAGAGCATATCCTTCAGTATTTTATCCCTGTGTACATATATAAATGTTTTAAGAAGATGATATGCCTATTGTTATTGTTTTTCCCTACTCACTCAATACATTGTAAAATGCCTTTCCGTGACATGAGACATGTAGTTTGTAATATTCTAGTGGCTGCTTCAGATACATGTGTGCAACTTTACCGTAATCAACCATTTAAAATGTATGTATATATTAAATATGTATTTACGACCTTGAGGGACTTTAGTGAAACTGGTCATGGAGTTCAGCCTTTGCGCACACGTTGCTTTTCAAAATTTAAGGAGTAAATATACTCCGCCCCCATTCGAATTACTCATCCTCTCCCTCCCTTCTCTCTCAGTTGCTATAATCACCAGTGCAGCAAGAATCTTTTAAGACTCAGATAAAACTAATGAAGCAATGCCAGCGATTTATAATTTTATAAATGATGAATGACTGTAAAGACATTAAAGTGAGTTTTAAAGAATGTTTTAACATAGGGCACCTGGGTAGCTCAGCTAGTTGAGCGTCCAGCTCTTGGTTTCAGGTCAGGTCATGAACTTGGGGTTGTGGGATCAAGCCCTACATGGGGCTCCACGTTTGGCATGGAGACCGCTTAAGATTCTCTCTCTCTCTCTCTGCCTGTCCCCCTCCCCTGCTTGCTTTCTATTTCTTTAAAAAAAAAAAAAAATTAATGACATGTAGTTGTGACACTTAAGTCTAAAACAAGGTACAAAAGAGTATGCAGAGTAAAATGTACACACATAGGATAAAGACTGCAAAGATCAAAATATGAAGAGTAACTGTCACAGAGGTATCACATTACACATGGTTTTTATACCTTCCTTCTACCTGTATGTTTTAAGTTTCTAAAAAAATTCCTATTTTTAG